ACAGGATAGTTCTAGAAAATAGGTGGCGCCTCACCAGTCACGTGACCTCTATGACGCAACAGTGTGTTATAAAGGTTGTTAAGTTTATAGTGACTGTGGAAATTCTGTGTATTTCTAAGTTGTATTTAGAAAGAATAAACTAGTTTTAATTAAGAAAGGACTTGTATTGCTGAAGTTCCTCGGAAAGAATTTATATTGAAAATTAACAAACGAGCAGAGACGCAACAAATTGGCGTGAGAGAGTAGGACGGAAAAGAAAAAAGAAGATGGAAACGAAAAGTGGCAAATCAAACTACAGCTTAGCAGATTTGATGGCAGCAATACAAGAACAACAAAAGAAACAAGAGGAGAGATTACAGCAGTTGTTGGAGGAAAAAGAAAAGAAACAAGAAGAACGAGAAAATAAACAAAAAGAGACTACAGCAGTGGTTGGAAAAGAAATAAAATGAACAATAAGAGAGACTAAAGCAGTGGCAAGAAAACCAGCACCAGTGGCAGCTGGAACAATTAAGGAAACAAGAAGTACAAATGGAAGAGATTAGTAAATTTCAAAGTGAATTAAACACATTAAAGGACGATTTACTAATGTTTACACAGGGAGGATATATTAGCCATGAACCTGATCAGCTCCAGACAAAAGGAAGCCCCTTTCAGACCCCGCAGCTAAACTCTAATGCAGACATCTTCAGTCCTGCCAGAAGTCACATTCCAAACATGAGTGTCAGCAATAGCGGTGATCTAGTATGAAGGAAACAACAGGAAATCGATGGGAAGGCACCATGGGAAGCATATAGAGCACAATTTGAACTCCTAACAGAAATGAATGGATGGACAGAGGAGACGAAGGCAGTGCACCTGGCAACGAGCTTGAAAGGACAACCACTGGAAATACTTAGACAGTTGTCAGCAGACGACAGGCACAACTATAGAGCACTGGTAGCTGCTCTAGAACTCAGGTATGGAACTAAAAATCCGTCCAAAGTCTACAGGGCTAGGTTTAGGTGTAAAGTCCATGCTAAAGGGGAGAGCCTGCAAGAGCTGGCACAGGATTTGGAAAGTATGGCACATAAGGCCTACCCAACTGCACCACCCGATGTCCTCAAGCTGTTGCTGAAGGACAGTCCACAACTGAAGATACAAGTAAAGCAAACACACCCCTCTACTATGCAGGATGCAATGGCCACAGCTCTTGAATTAGAATCCTATGTTAAGTACAGTACAGAGGTACCAAGGTTGGTACAGTCATTAGGATTCACGGTCAGAAAAGGGCAGCTTTCAGAAAAGTTTGAGGGACTTTGCTGGCACTGTAATAAACCTGGACACAAGAGAAATGCCAGCAACTTTAACACAGGGAAGATGCCATGGCAAGAAAGGATGCTACCCAGAAATATTGTTGGATCTGTATAGAGCAAGGACATATGAGGAGCCAGTGTAAGAAGAATACTACCAATAAGTCAGATTCAGAGAAACCAGTAGTGGTTGGTGTTGAGGGATGCCCACCAACCCACATGGTGAAAGCCCCAACAGCTAAGTGTAAAATGGCAAGCACACACAGTGTCTATGTGACAGGAAAGCTGGATGGCCAAAAGTGCAGCTTTGTCATAGATTCTGCATATCAGCAAACCCTTGTGAGTATCAAGGTGCTGGATCACAAAGGAGTACCAGAAACCATACAGAAACTCTGCGGTGTGACAGGACATTATACAAGGTTGTGGGGACCAGTGTGGGTAACTATTGATCTCATGAGCATAAAAGAAGTATATAAAAGACACGAAGTATTTTTGGCTGACATTGAAGACCCATGCATATTAGTATTGGACTATCTACTACCGAGGAAGTGTGTAGTTAACTTCGATAAAATGACGATTTGGAACAACAAAGGTCAAATTCCGGTAAGTGTTAAAAGACAGGTTGGACTAACCAGGTGCCATCAAGCTGAAGTTAAAGTGACTGAAGAAGTTGATGATAGTGAAGTGGGACCAAGTATAGATAATAAAGCAGAACAGGAGAGAGACCAAGATTTGGAGCCAGTAATTGATTTTCGAAAAACAAGTGTTTTTTGCCCTGCTTGGGAGAAGGTGTCCAGTCTAAGCCCTGTGACAAAGAACTATTGGGCGCAATGGGACCAGTAGAAGCTTGAAGATGG